TGCACTGTTCCCTCTCTCATTCCCTGTTTTATCCTCACACTGCTCCCTCTCTCTCACTCACTGTTCCATCTTCGCAGTGCTTCCTCTCTCACACTTGCTGTTTTATCCTGGCACTGCTCCCTGTCTCACTAGCTGTTTTACCTATGCACTGCTCCCTCTCTCACACTCCCTGTTTTATTCTCTTAATTGTGGTTTAGTTTAGTCACTGCACAATCTAAGGATTTACCTCGAGGAGTGAGCTTCCATTAAAACAACTTCTCCTTTAATTTATTTTAACAGCAAATCAAGTCTAAAACTTACAGTAAAGATACAAAGTGCCTATTTGGTTTACATTTATAAGCCTGTATAAGTACATGTGTTTAGCCAAATGGTCTACATAATCACAAGCAAATATGCATAAATTAATTTGCTGCTGTCTACAATCTCATTTGTTCGTTTACTGTCTAACAATGTATTGTCCATACTATCAATGTAATGCTTAACTTGAGATGAATTGCTGTTAAGTGATTCAGAGTCATGATCAAATGAAACAAATTTCTTGACTTGGTTATAATTCCACACCTTTGTAATTACATTTATTATCTCTTCCCAACACGCCTTGACATTCGGTGGTTTTACTAACACTGAATTCCCCCATTATTAACATACCGAGGTTACCATTGACCAGAAACACAACTGGACCCACCACATAAACACAGTGGCTACAAGAGCAGGTCAGAGCCTAGGAATACTGCAGTGAGGAACTCACCTCCTAAGTCTCCAAAGCCTGTCCACCATCTACAAGGCACAAGTCAGGAGTGTGATGGAATACTCCCCACTTGCCTGGTTGGGTGTAGTCCCAAAAACACTCAAGAAGCTTGATACCATCCAGGACAAAGCAGCCCACTTGATTGATGCCACATCAACAAAACATCCACTCCCTTCACCACTGACATTCAGTAGCAGCAGTGTGTACTATCTACAAGATGCACTACAGAAGTTTACCAAGGACCCTTAAACAGCACCTTCTAAACCCACAACCCCTTCCATCTAGAAGGATGAGAGCAGCAGATACATGGGAACACCACCACCTGAAAGTTCTCCCCAAGCCACTCACCGTCCTGTCTTGGAAACATATCACCGTTCATTCAGTGTTGCTGGGTCAAAATCCTGGAATTCCCTGGTTAAGGGCATCTTGGGTTAACCTACAGCATATGGACTACAGCAGTTCAAGGCGGCAGCTCACTACCACCTTCTAAGGACAACAAGGGATGGACAATAAATGCTGGCCCAGCCAGCAACACCCATGTCACATGAGTGGATTTGAAAAAATGTTGCATCATTTTCTTGCTGTCCAGGTGTGCCTCAATGTTAGCTGTAGTTCACTAGGCAAAGCGTTTTACTTAAGATAGCCCAGTTGTCCACAGCAAGTAATATGTTTGTTTTAAATGGACGTCAAATGAATCAAAAAACAAGGTAAGTGAGCATTGAAATGATATTGTGGAGCACCATTCATTAGTGCAAAATATTCACAAAAATTTTAGATTAGATTTTCCTTCAGATTAATTGTCCTTTTCATCACAACGTGCAAAGAAACACCTAATGACTCAAAGGTTTCAATGTAATTTGTGGGCTGCCTATACTTATGTTGGCAATTTAGGCTCTGTTTGTTAGCTTGATGAGTGACATTACTACTTCCATAGAGCTGAGAATTTAGTCCCCTCAAATGAATCGCGTATTAGACACAGTCACAAGGAAAAGATGTTCCAGTTGTGAAATTGTCAAAACAAGGGCTACAGGTGGTTCAAGAAGAAGGCCTACAACGATCTTTTCCAGACAGCTAGAGGTGGCCAATAATTATAGCTTTTCCAGCACCATGGCTATCACAAGAACAAACTTTTAAAAGCTCAATCTCCATTCTTTCTTGTGGTAAGTAGTTAATACTTCACAATAGTTTGAAATTAGCTATTGCGTTGCGAGTTATTTGACCAGATCAGCATAAAATGAATTTATTTAATTTGCTCAATAAACTTTGTGACATTTCAACTGGGTCAAAGTATAAGAAGTGCAATGTCAGCTGGAGTTTCCACCCCCACTGAGGCTGGAAGATAGATGGGAGTTAAGAACAGCCTTGCTGGCTGGTGTTCCGGTCTCCTGACTATTCATTGCTGGGCTATTTGTGTGGAGGCAGGATTAGGTGGCACAAAAGGTGGAGAAGATGGCTGATTAGGCTGGTTAACAGCCTGTTTGAAGCTAATTAAAGGAATATCCCTCTTGGCTTCCAGGTTTCCAGAGCTGAACGACACTGTAGGTCCACTCACATGGATTGCAGTGTTTCAAGAAGGTGACTCCCCACCACCTTCTCAAGAGCAACTAGGGGTGGTTTAGAAATGCCGGTCTAGCAAACAATGCCCACATCCTGTGAAAGAATGAAAGAAAGGGACCAGTTTAAGTCCCTCAAAACCGACATTTGATCGCAAACCAGGGTGAGGGGTGCTATTCCAGGCAGCTCTAAACAGCCCTCCTGCCTGACTGAGTAAATTAACATTTTTATAAGAAGGATTCTCCCTCTCAATGGTGACCTGGCTGTGGTTTTCTACTTTTTTCTTAATAAAATTCAAAAAATTTACAGAAAGAAGGCACCTCCATCTTTAAGCATCTTCAAGTGAAGAAAAAGGTTTTAACTTCAAATGAAATGTGAAAAATTGTACAAGCACGTAACTTCGAACAAGCTACAGAGAGTCCTGTTTGTTTTTGCTTAGGTCTCAAAACTGCACTAATAGAGAGAGGGGACTTCTCTTCTGGGACCAGTAGCAAAAGCACCAAGCTTATTCATGGAGGAGTGCGATACCTACAGAAAGCATTCATGAATTTAGATTTTGAACAGGTATAAATATTAAACATTCTTGTGAATAAACATGCCTGGCATTGTCTGCTTTGCAAGAATGCGTTATTTCCTGCTTGTAATGTCCAGAAATGAATAATCATTGAATACATGTGCTGAGAAACACAGATATAGTTGCCTACGTTCTTTCCAGAACCACTTAAGTAGTCAATAAGTTTCAGTATCATAATAATTATAACTTTCAACTATTTTCCTTTTGTAGTATAAACTCGTGAAAGAAGCACTCATGGAACGTGCTAACTTACTTGAGATTGCCCCACATATTGCAAAACAGTTACCAATCATGATCCCTCTTTACAGGTAAGCATTTCTTAATATAAATGAATTAGCATGTGATAGTTCTGTCAATGCTTTCCCATTGAAATATTTCCCTAATACGTACAGCAGAAAACAGTCAAATATTTATGACAGCATCAGAGGAGCAGGAAGGTTGACGTTTCGGGCCTAGACCCTAGACCCCTAGACTTCCCCCACCTCAGTGGTCGAGAACGCTCTCGACTGTGTCTCCCGCATTTCCCGCAACTCATCCCTCACACCCCCTCCCCACAATAACAAAAAAAAGGAAAAAAACAATGAAGGGCCTAGGCCTGAAACGTCAGCTTTCCTGCTCCTCTGATGCTGCTTGGCCTGCTGTGTTCATCCAGCTCTACACCTTGTTATCTCAGATTCTCCAGCATCTGCAGTTCCTACTATCTCTGAAAAATATTTATGACAGTTAACTTGCATTATATACAGGTTAATCTTGATGATGAGTCGAATTTCCTCCAAGTGTTACATTTGTCGAGTTCATTACACCATTTGTGGTAAGGCATCATACGTTAAAATGGGTGCTTCTCTGGGACATAGTGAAATAAAACAGCATTACCAGACAATCCTTTTCTTTACTTCTTTGCTTTCTGTCACCCCACAGATCATTCCTGAGCAATTTCATCTTTGAGCTATTGATGCAATGGGGTGAACGCATTGGTTACATCTGTGATGAATTTAGAATAATAAACAACCATGCTGATCAATGTTCTAATTTTATTCTCTATTTTCCAACGTCTTTTTGTTTTCAAAATCTCGCCAACCTTCTTCTGTGTTGGGTGGAGACCATCACCATCTCTTTAGTAACCCAGGTATGTGACTTTTTTGAGACCATGAAGGATGCTTTAAGAAAAACGCAGAAGGACTAGTGGACTGCAGAGGCTGATGAGTTGCAGCATTCTGTTGAGAAGCATGATCCATGTTTTTTACGACATGCTGAAAACTGTATATGCCTCACCCACCACAACCTTGGCTTCTCTCTAACAGCTGATGGAAAACTAATCTCTGGGATGTGGTTGTAATGGATTGGTGGCATGGTGTGAACACTTCACTGAGCTCCTCAACAGGTTCTCTGCATCAAATTCAACAGCTGCCTAAGAAAGAAAGCATGCCACATCCTCATTTCACTGGAGAACTGATAAAGGTGAAGAAATCAACCCTAGCCCAGACAGCATTCCAACAGAGATTTGGAAGTACAATGAAGCTACTTAACAAATCTGGCTGCTAACATAGTCAGCATCTGGGAGCAAAAGAATCTAAAAATTTGTATGGTAACTACCAGGGAATAAGTCTTCTTTCAGCTGGAGAAAAGATACTCACAAGGATCAGCTTATACAGTATTTGCAACTACAAGAATAGGGCAGAGAGCCACGTCAGGATTTGTACCTTTTCTTCATAGAATGAAGTAAATCTTTGGAAGTGTGACTAGACGTGGTCCATGGCACTTGCTGTCCAAGCTATGATGTTTGCCAAAATGCTGTACCTACTGCATGATTTTGTGGTTCAGTGTATTTGAGCTTGTGGTGAGATAGTCACTGTCTTTGGGGTAGCGTTCTTAAATTATAAGGATATGTCATTGTTCCCCAGCTTTTGAATCTCTTCTTTGCCACAATGCTTAAGAATGCAATTAGAGACAGGCCTACAGGTATAGTGGTGGCTGATGTAATACCCTGGCTGCTCACAACAAGGAAGCCATCTACACAATGGTAACCAAATTCTCAAGTGCTTCCAAAATGTTTTGTCTCCAAATCAGTGCCTTTGAGATTGATGTTATCTTTCAGTCAGCACCTGGTACACACTGTAAATCAGCAGACACAATTGGCTGATAGCATCAGTCTCAAGTTTGCATACCTCGGTTTGTGTGTTCTCTAAGGATGCCATTATTGATGAGGATATCGATGCATGTAGCCAGAAAGCACGTTCTGCCTATGGCTAGTCCATGATTGTGTCTGGAAGCGAAATGACATTAAGTTGAAGACTAACCTTAGATTCTCCCAGGCTGTTGTCCATCCAACCAACATTCCTTTACAGCCTGCACAGGGACAATAAGACCTCCCATAACCACCACTTCCTTTACAATGAGCAAGGAATGGGCAACACAGAACAGAAGGAAATGAGAGGGAACATTACTTAGCACCTGGCTATGTAGCTGTGAATCCTGGACTGCTATAGCCATCACATCATGGATTTAGAATGCATCCAAAGTCGACCATCTTTTATCTTTTACTTCTGATTTAGTCAGCATTGTCTCAGAGTGTACATTGTATTAATGCTGTAAGAACTGATAGTATTCTGATCTTGCTGTCAATTTTAGGGGGTATGAAACAATATGGTTATTAAAATACATGTTATTTCCAACCCAAGCAGCACTGAAAGATGACAAAGATAAAGGGATGGAACTTTTATATTTTACTTGAATAACAAAGAAATGGAGAATATTTTGATGCATATTTTGGAACTCAAGTGAAAATTGAAGATGGCAGGACTGTAGGAGACCAGGCACCTGCACAATCCCAGGGAGAAGAAGACCCCAAGATATTGATCACATATAACTTCATGCGAATGCACAAGCAGGCATGGGAACACCAGGCAAGCTTTTTAGAGATGCTCAGGAGTCCACCAGCACTATCTGTAAGGTGCTGGCTCCGGCATGTGTGGATTGTCCATCTCTCTGGATACGTTGGATGCTGTCATGGAGTCCCAAGTCCAGCAAAGAATTGCATTTGCTCAGCGCCGTTAACAAGGTGACAGGGAGTTGAAGGACCTTGATCTCACTCCAAGTGTCCTCTCCTCACAAGGGGACAGGGTGGACAGTAGGAACCCAACTGGAGGAGGCGCCTCATTCAGGACCTCCAGAAATCTCCTCCACCTGGCTTACAATTCCCAACCCTATGGGAATTCAAACAATGTGAAGGTGAACCTACATCTGGCCAGGATATTTCCAGCATGTTTGGGCTCTCTGCCCACAGTAGCCCTCCGAGTCTTCCACCCAAAATTCCAAGGCCAAAAGGCTCCAGTATAGGGCAGGCTCCCTCCATCTTAGCAGACACTGGCATTGCATCTTGACAGTGGGAGGGAAAGGTAAAAGAAAACCTTCTGAGGACAGAAGTGATACAAGTGAAACTTGATTATAAATATGTCATCACATTTTAAAATATATGTTCAGTTTTTATCATCATCTCTGCAAATAATTCATTTTAGCTGCAGGTACAAGAATGAAGGTAGAGAGGCTAGCCATCCTTAATGCTGCCCTGCCTGAGCGATAACTATCCTTTACATACCAGCCATACTAGTATGAAGGTTTGTCATGATTTGAATTTCTTGACAATCCCATCAGCTTCAATCATTCCTACATTCTAACCCAATTCTTTTATTTAATTATTCATTTCCATACTTGACTCACTGAGCCCCAGGGATACAACTTAGTTTTGCCAAACATAGTTATGCACTGTCCCACCCCAATGTAGTGGTGACTATCGATGATATTCCTCCAACAGTACATCTTGCTCTCCTGTGCTGTATTGTCTCCTTCCCTTTTTTTTCTATTTATTTGTGGGATGTGGGCAGTGTTGGATGGCCAGCATTTATTGCCCATCCCTAGTTGCCCTTGAGAAGGTGGTGGTGAGCTGCCTTCTTGAACCGCTGCAGTTCTCCTGCTGTGGGTTGACCTACAATGCTATTAGAGAGGGAATTCCAGGGTTTTGACCCAGTGACAGTGAAAGAATATTTCCAAGTCAGGATGCTGAGTGACTTGGAGGGGAACTTGGAGGTGGTGGTATTCCCATATATCTGCTGCCCTTGTCCTTCTAGATGGAAGTGGTCGTGGGTTTGGAAGGTGCTGTCTGAGGATCTTTGGTGAATTTCTGCAATGCATCTTGTAGATAATACACACTGCTGCTATTGAGCGGTGGTGGTTTGATGATATGGCCTGTTCGCAATTATTAACCTCTCTGCATCTCAGCATGCTGCCTCCAATCCCCATAATTGACTTCCCCCAACTTATCCAGCACATCAGTGGCCCCTGGTTATGCCCCCACCTTTGCCTTTCAGTGAACAGAGCCCCAGAACTAACTGTGTTTCACCTCCCAACTGACAAGGAAAATCATGAGGGGCATGAACGGGGTAAATAGGCAAGGTCTATTCCCTGGGGTTGACTTGTCCAAAGCTACAGGGTGTAGGTTTAAGGTGAGAGGGGAAAGATATAAAAGGGACCAAAGGGGCAACTTTTTCATCCAGAGGGTGTTGCATGATTGGAATATGCTGCCAGAGGAAGTGGTAGAGGCTGGTATGATTACAACAGTTAAAAGGCATCTGGATGGGTATATGAATGGGAAGCGATTAGAGGGATATGGGCCAAATGCTGGCAAATGGGACTAGATTTGTATAGGATATCTGGTCGTCATGGACAAGTTGGACTGAAGGGTCTGTTTTCGTGCTGTACATCTCTATGACTCTGTGACAGCCCTCGTCGATGAGTGACCGGACTTCTGACAGATCTCTGTGCCACTCCCCAACTGACTTGCTGCTACTCCCCAGACTGGTTGCACTAGACTGGCAGGTCTGACCGTGGCCCGCTCCCCAGAAAGCAGTGCTACGGACCCCTTGATCCTGATTGACCCAAGCGCCCATTTTGAAGCCTCTGGACTGAGATCAGCTGATGGCCTTGACCTACTGTGGTGGCACCCCTTGATTGATGGCAGTCTCCATTGATTTCACTGTGGACCACTCCCCTTTTAGAGTCTGAGACATGCCAGTTGGTTGAAACACATGCATAAGCTGCTGGCACATGCTGAAAGTGTGGCGTTGATGTGGTATGGTGGCCCCTTTACTGATTGTAAATATGCCTGGCATATAAACCTGCACATAAATGAAGTGAGATTAGGTAGCAATGAGATGTAATTGCATGCAAGTCGGCCTCTTGCTGCTTGCCAGTAAGATTCTTGTCTTGATATCAAAACCTTAGACAGAAAGTTAGACTTTTTATCTTAATGTCA